AATGCTGACATGTGCATCAGCTGACCCCGCGAATTAATGAAAAATGTAGGTCAAAGGCACATCCAAAATCCAAAGGAGAAGATTCTGAATGGAAGTCTAGTGTGAGGCGCACCGTAAAGCGCGATTTATCTGTATTTTACACCTTTATCTACATGTAGCGCGCAATACTAATTGATAATGAATTTGCGAACTATAACGAATAACCAAACTTCCCAAAAGTCTCCAAACGATCACATAAACGTAAACGTTGACACATAAAAACTCAAATGAGTACAAAAAAAGAAAGAAAAAAAAACTGAACCCATATGAAAACAAAACAAACGTACCTTAGGCACATGGAGATCAAAAGTGTCACGATATGAATATAGCCTATCGAGGAATTTTTTATCACCAGATTCCGACTCAGACTCCTAAAACAATTAGCGTGAATACCTACTCATATGGATGCACAGCACCAATATGAGTAGGTATTCGTAGTGAGTCGTATGAGTAAAAGGTTATCTGCACACAAGTTGCCTGATCACCTGACCAACAAGACCTTCGGAACACTGTTCTACTACCCAAGCAGAATGTGGAAAAGCAGAAAAAAAAGACAATGCTTGCTGAGTCACTTTTGTTGGTTTCACTCGATAGTCTATTGACAGCCGATGTGAAATTGGCAATTCACCAGTTATGGGCAGCACCCAGACAAGACTTGAGACGACATTCGGTATTAATTCCTGAAACAAAGAAAATCATAAGTTGTGAGAGAGAAGACTCCTTTAAAAAGCCATGATGACATGAAGCCTCACACCAAGGTCCCTGTTCAGCAGCTTGCCGAGCTGATTTGGTGTTTCTTTCGTCACAGTCGGATCGACCGCTTCAATCATGGCATTCTCCAGCACAACGGTCCACTGATCAGCATGACCGGCAGCTCGTGCTATTTCCAGCTCAAACAGTGTTCTGCAAAGCAGTAACATAAAAAGTATTTGTACCAAAATTGCTTGAATGCTGCAGGAAAAATAACCAGTAAAGCATTTCACTAGGCTTCGATCATGCTGTCCA